GACAGCAAGTTTATCCCATCTGCGGGTTTTTTTTACTCCGCATCTGTGCCCTCACTCATACTGGCTAAGTCAACAACACTCAACTCCAGCAAGCCCTGTAATCAACAGCAGTGAGCATGACAAGATCGACTCATCTGCTAGATCATGGCTGCTCCGCATCTGTGCCCAGGGCACGTGGGCGAAGCCAACATGCCATGCTCATCAACCGCACCAGCCAAGCAAGTCATGGCAACAACCCAGTTTCACTTGATAAGTTCAGCTCATCTGTTGGATTCTTCTGCTCCGCATCTGTGCCCTCAGTCATGCTGGCTAAGTCAAAACGTCATCCTCCATTGATATGCAACAACCAAAGAAGGCGATGTGACTCAAGACGGCAAGATTATCCCATCTGGGATTTTCTGCTCGGCATCTGTGCCTTCAGTCATGATCAACAACGATACCCAAGCAGGCCACGCGAACAACCGTGTTCGACATCACAGCTCAGCTCATCTGTCGGATTTCTCTGCTCTGCGTCTGTGCCGTCAGTCATGCTGGCAAAGGCAACACGTCATTCTCTTTCACGGTACTACCGAGGCATGCAGCTCGCGCCGCATAGAATACTGAACATGACCCTCTCGGCTCATCTGTTGGATTGGTTGGCTCCACCTCTGTGTTCTATCGCACTGGCTAAATCGTTTGACCAGGCTCCCCTCAACCATGGCACCTAAGCAAGTCACATGGTCAGCAGCATCCAGTTTCAGCTCGTCTGTTGGGTTCGTTGGCTTGCGGACATCCTCGAGCGGATCAGTCTAGTGATTCCAGTGCTCAGTGTCTCCCGAACAATGGAACCCTTGACACTGCAGATGCTGGCCCACCTCAGCGAGCAAAGCCAGGGAATATTGCCAGCAGCTGCCCCTGCACACCAACGTCCGAGCACCATCCGAAGACTCAAACCCTAACCCTGAACCCCTTTCTTGGTATCGAAAAAAAGGATCATTTTGGGGGTCTCCTGAGTGGCACAGCTCTCTTGACCGTCCTTGGCCCAAGTACAACGACCGAAAACATGACATGTCCACAATAAACCGAGCACACAGAAGTACCTCGCTTGCCTCTCTGCAGACCGTCCGGGGCTGAGCGTTTCCCAGCACACGTGTCTCTGATCCTATCTAAGAGCTGCAACATCTAGCTTCAAGCAGAAGCTCAGTGTCGACACCATGCCCTGCTTTGGCCTCTCGCACGCGCTGACCGCAGCACCTCAGGCGAGTGGCTTTCGCTTGCCCCCATATCCCTCCCTCTTTCCGGGATCCTGGCCATACACGATGCCATCAGCCTGCAGGCGCCCCTGCAAAGAGCTGCGGAACCTAAGTTCAATGTCACCGAGATCTTGATGGCGCGGCGCAGACGCGGGCAAGGCAAAGCTCCACAGATCAGCCGGAAGCCAGGCAAAAGTCGATCATCAACGCGCTGTAGCGAGATCCGACAGCCAGTCAAAACGGAAACACACTTGTGACTTGAGTCGAGATCCATTTCAGCCGACTTGCCAACAATCCGATCAGACGGGTAGAATGAAGGTGACTATGACCATGACGGTGGTGAGGGATACGCGATGAGAACGATGATGATGACGGTCATGGTGATTGTAGTGCGGGCACGATGGCATTGACGACAGCGCTGTCAAATTTCTATATGGGTATTGTAATTGTAAGCACCACCGCTACCACCATCACCACCGTCCCCCACTCGCCACCGTCCCCCCATCGCCAGCGTCACCAGTATCACCATCAGCCTCGTCAGCACCACCAGCACAGCACAGCGGCACAAGCACCAACAGCGCTAAGGGCCCGACAGCTGGAGAGCTTCTTCCCACTTGCTCCTGAGATTTCAGAAATCGCAGACATGCGCAGAACATCAGGTATCACTGCCAGTGTGCAAGAGTGCGAAAAAAAACCGTTGCTTGCCGTTGCTGTGACAGGAAGTGCGGCAATCAGCTGGCCTCCTGCGAAACTCTGCCACAGCCTGCGTCAAGTCCTGGCGGCAAGGCATCGCTATCAAGTAGCAAACCCATGATGGTGAAGATGGGGAAGAGGGTGGGTGATGGTGATGACAATGCTGACCGTGGTTATGGTGGATGACGGTAGTGGTGATGATGATGATGATGATGATGATGATGGTGATGGTGGTGACAATGGTGATGATGGATGGTGGTGATGGGGATGGTGATGACCGTGATCGTGATGGTGACTGTGCTGGTGATGGCTATGGTGATGGTGATGGTGACCCTGACGACGAAGAAGAAATTCAGATCAAGGTGTCTAGGGTGATGACAGTCATGATGAAGATGATGATGGTGATGATGATGATGATGATGATGATGATGACGATGAGGAGGCGGAGGAGGAGGATGACGGAATGAGGATGATGAGGATCATGATGATGCTGCTGCTGCTGATGATGATGATGATGATTATTATTATTATTATGATTATTATTATGACGAAGATGAAGACGATGACGATGACGATGAGGACGACGATGATGATGAAGATCATGATGATGACGAAGCTGATGAAGATGAAGATGAAGATGAAGATGAAGATGAAGATGAAGATGAAGATGAAGATGAAGATGAAGATGAAGATGAAGATGAAGATGAAGATGAAGATGAAGAAGATTATGAAGATGATGATGACGATGATGACGATGATGACGATGATGACGATGATGACGATGATGACGATGATGATGATCATGGCGCTGACGATATAGGCTGTCTGTGATTCCTGGATAACGTAAACCCTGCGAAGAAGTCTTTGCGGAACGCCTGCCACGTGCAAACACGCATCTTATGGACCCCAAGCCCTCTTGTATCGGCCCGCCGGTGTCTTTCGGAGTGCGTGGGACCGTACCGGTAGGGGCACCTGCGATCATGAGGGGGCTTCGCCAGAAAGGTGAGAGGCACTCGCGATAATTGCTTGAATCCTTGAAGTAGATCATTACGTTCTAGGATTTTACATGCAGGCTTTACATGCTAGTAACAACGAAATTGGCGGTAGGTGTTGGCGTAACCGTGACTATGACTAAGACCAAACATTCAATCACCAATCATCACACTACAAGTAGTAGCAATGCAGACGAAAAGAACCACTCATCACAACAATAACACTCGCAATTCCTTTACTGACTTTGATAATGAGGACAAGTACAAATACTTGAATAACACACATGAAGACAAGCAGAGAAGAAGAAGTAGTAGTAGCAGTTGTAGTGTTGGTGGTAACGGTGGTGGCAGTGGCGGTGGCAGTGGCGCTGGCTGGCAGTGGCAGTGGTAGTGGCAGTGGTAGAGGTCGTGGTAGTGGTAGTGGCAGTGGTAGAGGTCGTGGTAGTTGTAGTGGTAGCGGTAGCCGTGGCGGTAGCGGCCGTAGTCGTAGCAGCAGCAGGGGTTGTAGTAGTAGCAGCAGCAGCAGCAGTGGAAGTAGTAGCAGCGCTAGTAATGCTAGCAGCCAGCAGTACTAGTACTGTAGTACTAGGCACCAGCCCCTTACCAACTACACTTGCTCTTAACCATGTTAAGACAACATCCAGTTGACTCGGTATTTACAGCACTTTCGTCATGTGGGACAACTTTATGAAGTCTGAAAACCGACTTGTCGAGTTCGCAAACTCGAGCTTCGCATTTGAACTTGCCTTTTGGGGGGGGGGGGATGATGACGACATTGTTACACAGACATCCCGAACAATATCTCCAGAAGAGCCGTTTTACTCGGCATTTAC